CCCCCCAAAAAAAAAAAAAATAATAATAATAATAATAATAAAAGTTCTGTTTTTGCAGATAGAACCCCTGAGCAAAGATCTATTATTGCAGGTAGACACCCAGAAAAAGGGTTAAAAAAACTCACTCGGGAGGTTTATATATCTGAAACAATAGAACTACCTGGGTAGTAACTTTGGCGACAGTACAAAGGTCTAACTGCAAGTAACCCTAAAAAAGTGGGTAGAGCTTACATTGTTGCACTTCTTTACAGCTGAGACTTTAAAAGCAGCCCGTAATTGGCATGTCATCAAAGCTCCAGAGGTCAACAGCATCAGAACCGTCCTGAGCAAAGACGCCATCAAATGTCTCAAATGAGCAATCAGGGACCTGCAGAAACTTCACATAGGAATCAAGTTCAGAAAGCTCCTCTGAGAGTTTCACCACTGCATCTTGATTAGCAAAAACTGCCTCTCCCGAATTATTCTTGAGCTTCTTCACTGGATTAGCATTGCCACATTCAGTGATCTCAGATTCATTTCCTTCAATTATGGTAGGGCTAGAAAATGAAGTGATCTCTGGTGTCTTATTAATCTCATTTCCCCAACCAAAATCAGAACAATCCAAAGAGTTGCTCCCTTGTTCAGACTGGAAAGTGAAGGAATTTGCATACTCGGGTTTACCAGCGTTCTTCTCCTCGAAGAATCCAAAAGTAGAGTAGAACTCAGGGTCAGGTTTGAAGTCTAGATTCTTGGAGAGATCAGGCTTTGGTGCTTTAAAGGAAGCTGGTTTTGGTTTTGGAGCATCCTCGGGAAAATTCACCTTAGCTTTCTTGCCTCGGATTCTACGGGCTTCAGCATCATAAGCCCGTGCAGCTTCTTCAGCGGTGTTGAATGTGCCGAGCCAAACTCGAACTCCTTTTTGAGGGTCTCTTATCTCTGCTGCCCACTTTCCCCATGGACGCTGACGAATGCCCCTGTATTGATTTTTTCTCTTCCTCTTGCCAGGTTTCTCAGTAGGTTCCTTTAACTCAACAGGTTTCAAAAAGCCTGTACAAAAAGAAAGAAAGGAGAGCTGCA